CTTCCTGCCCAGTGTGGAGCCCAACGCGGGGTCTGAACTCAAGACCCTGAGATCAAGACCTGAGCTGAGATCAAGAGTGGGGCGCTCAACTGACTGAGCCCCCCAGGGGCCCCTAAAGATGAATGTTTTTTTATTTTTATTTTTTTTTATTTATTACTTCTAGGAGAGAGAGAGAGAGAGAGAGAGAGAGAGAGACACCGTGAGCAGGGGAGGGTTAGAGAGAGAGGGAGTCACAGACTGAAACAGGCTCCAGGCTCTGAGCTGGCAGTCAGCACAGATCCCGACGCGGGGCTCGAACCCACGAACCACGAGATCATGACCTAAGCGAAAGTCAGATGCTTAACCGACTAAGCCACCCAGGTGCCCCTAAAGATGAATGTTTTTAAAAAACCTTTTAAAAATATTTGTTTACTTTTGAGACAGAGACAGAGCGTGGGTGGGGAAGGGGGGGAGCCCAGGGTAGGGAGGCAGCTGCAGGAGGGGCCAGAGGGGCCTGACACGCACAAGGGACCTGCCCTGGCATCGCCCGGGAGCCTGGCTGTGGTCCGGCCTGTGCCGCATTTGGCAGGGAGCCCACAGGCATTCCTGGCGTGAAGAGCTGAGCGCCTGAGCCAGGAAGAAAGACCGAGAAGAGCTGTGAAAGGGGAGGATATGCTGACTGGGAGTCGCACAGACCCTGGTTTGATTCCAACTCTGCCTCCAGCACGCTGATCTCGCCGAGCCACCTCACCTCTCCGAGACTTAACTTGCCCATCTGTAATGGGAGCTGGCAGGTGGCGGGAATGGTCTCGTGGAGTGGCTATGGGGACCCCTGGGTGTGGACACCCCAGAGCTCGGTGGGGCGTCCACAGAGGTGGGGTGAGATTATCACTGCTGCTGTGGGTTCGGGCCAGCTGCCCTCTCCGCCTGCCCCCCGAGGCTAGAGGCAGGGCCAAGGGGGAGTCCCTGCTCCGGTCACCAGGATGGGCCCAGCTCTGTCTCCAGGACGCTTGCCCCTGCAGGCCCTGCCCTGGCCGCTGCCTCTTTCCCAGGCCATCTCCCCCGTGCCCGGTGACGTGGGCCTTGTGTGGTGTGGGTGGAGGGGAGGGGACACTGGAGAGGTTAAATGTCCTGGGCTGACGGGGAGGAGGCCAGACCCGGTGGGGCACGTTATACAAATGCTGCCGGTGCTGGGGATAGAGGGTGACGGAGGCGGCCTCTGCGGGGGGGGCGGCCATCCCTGGAGGGCTGAGAGTCCAGATTCTTCTAAATCCAGCAACCCAGACTTGGGTTCGGGTAACAGGATCTTGGGTGCAGGACAGACACGGTGATGGGGGTAGGGGTGGGGAGGGTGTCGAGACCTCAGGGAGGAGCTCCATGGGGATGGGGCCTGACCGTTGAAGATCCTGAGGGTTGAACCAGATTGACAGGGTGAGGCGCCTAAATGAGGCCCAGCTGCCTTAGTAATGAGTGAGCTCCCCGTCTTGAGGGAAAAGCAAGCAGAGCTGGATACCCACCTACACTGAGCTTCTGGGCAGGAAGGTGAGGAAATCTTCCCGACAGGGAAGATGGGGAGGGGCTGGGGAGAGGAGTTCAGAGAAGACTTCACAAAAGCGGGCTTTGAAGGCTGCACAGGAGTTCTCTCGGTGGGAGGGAGGAGATGTTGTGCTAGACAGAGGGAAAAGCATGTGCAAACCTGAGTCACGTGCATGAAAAAGCATGAGTATTAAAAAGCAAGAACTGCTTTTAGTGAGAAGAATAGTTAAAAGTGCATTGAGCTTCAGTCTCTTCTAAGTATCTGACCTACATTACTCGGTCTAATCCTCACAAGAACCCTCTGGGCGCAACTAGGAAACTGAGACCCTGATGAAGGAGCTTTCTGGGGCTCACACAGGATTGCCTCACTGGCAGCCTGGCTTCAAGCTGGCGCGGGGAGAGGTAGGATCTGGGGCTGCAGAGGTTAGCAGGGGCCTGGATGGAAAGGCGGGGGGCCAGGCAGGAAAGAGATGAGCACTAGACGTGCTGGGTGCAGGGCCCCGGAGCTCAGCTGTGAGGCCTCCTTCTCCCAAGGTGAAGGTGAAGGCTGGCCAAGGCCTACGGCATGAAGGGCCCAGCCGCGTGGCCCTGGAAGGCGAGCATCTTCCTGGACGCCTGCTACCGCTGCGAGCGGCCCTCGTCTCCCAAGAGTGGGTGCTCCCAGGTGCCAGCTGCTTCAGCAGGTGTGTGCAGGGGCCCCGGAGGGTGGTGAAGACGGGCTCGGGAAGGGAGGCCCCCAGACTCACTGCCACCTGCTGTCTACAGCCGGCCTCAGTCCCACTTCAGAGCGACCCTGGGCCCATACCGCCTGGAGCCGGACACTTGCGAGAGCATTCCCGGCATGGCAGAGCTGCCCCTGTCCTCAGGAGGGCGTGCGGGCTCTGGGGCCTGGGGCCTGGGCCTGGCCCAACCGGCAAGGCCACCATCTCTCAGCAGCGCTGTGCAGCCGGTCCCTCTGGCCACCCGGCCCCAACCTTTCCTCCCACGGCCGCTCTGCTGGGCCCAAGGGGTTGAGGCCGATCTCCGTAGGACGGGAGCAGGTGCCCGGGATGGCTGAGGCCAGCAGGGGGCGCTGGACTGGGCAAGGCAGACAGCCAAGGCGGAGACTGGGGCGCCAGTGGAGGCAGTAATCCTCACAGTCCCCGAGCCCCCAGAGCAGCCTGGCTCTGCCCAGCCAACCGGCCAGCACCACAGACGCCGGCATGCAGGGGAGAGGGCGAGCGGGGACACCCCACGATGCCTGAGTCAGCTCCCAGCCCCCAAGGCTGACCCTGGGCACGCTCCTGGCCCCCTCCCCAGGCTTAAAGCTTCCCTGGGAGCACTGTGAGAATGCAGGGGAGGATGGAGCCATACCGGAGGGAGGTGGGAGTGAGGAGGGTCAGGGAGGACTGAAAGTTGAGGAGTGTGTTCAGGGCGGGGAGACTTGGGGCAAGGAGGGAAATTCTGATCGGTCCTGGCTGAGGGTCCGCCCCTCACAGCCGCCCACCCCACCCTCCCCCCCAGCAGATCCCTACATCCCACCCCGCTGAGACCACTGCACGTCACACCTGCGAAGATGCCTTTCACCTCCACCCTGACTGTCCAGACCCGAAGATCAGCCTGCCTGAGGGCTCCCAGGGCACCAGGCCCCCCGCCGGCCGCCCTGAACTGACAGTGAGGATTCCAGATGCGCCCCCCCTCCATACGCGCCCTCCCCTACGGCCCCTCCTAATGCCTCTAGACCCGGTAGAGCCAGGCTGCCCATCCTCCGGGGGGTCTCCTGTTCCGTAACACCCAGGCAGGCGGCTAATGAGCACCCCTGGTTAGGGGCTCCCCATCCCCACGGGAGACTCCCCTGTAGCTCCTGCTTGCCCGTGGGGCAGCCTTTGACACAGCCAGGTTCTGAACCACCGGAAAGCCCCTGGTTGTCAGATAAAACACAAGCGTTTTCTTGAAACCTGACTTCTGTGTAATACTGAGCCTCAAAAGCCACAAGGAGGAGAGAGTCCCGCAAGAGCCGTAGAATTTGCGGGAGAAAGCACTGTAAGCAACAAGAGGGTGTGGGGGTGGGGGGAGGGAGTATGACCAAGTCCACCCCCCCTCTGAGGTCTGTGTGTGGCCCCGGGGCCCCCAATCATCTGGCCTCCCCTGTCAGCACCTCCTGTCAGAGGTGGGAAGGTGGGAACCTGAGTGCCCCCAGCCCCCTCCCCTAATCAGGTGTCTCTGCTCACCTCTCAGGGAGGGGTCAGTGGGTCCAGGCTGGCTTTGACTCCTATCTTCTCCCGCACAGCAGCCACAGGGGGTGATGACCTGGGGGCTCTGGTGTCGGTCCAGCCTCTCCGAAGTCTACACTTTTAACACCCTGGCCAGGAAGCGCGCTTGGGCCTGCCCTGGGACCAGGCAGAGGAGGCAGTGAGCATCTGTAGCCTGCAAAGTCCTGGGTCTGAACCCTGAGCCAGCCACTTACCTGCTGCTGTGGCTGTGAGTGTTCCCAGCAAACTCCCCTCTGAATCTGCTTCCTCTTTGAGTAATCGAGATGTATTGACAGTTATTCATTCATCCAACAGTGTTACCAGCGCTTACTCTGCGCCTGGCAACCAGAACACAAGATCAGGGGGCCCCTGGGCTCATGCAACAGGCGGGCTTGTCTAGGGGAGGGGAGGCGAGCATTAGTCCGAGTCATGACAATAATAAATGTGCAAAAACAAACCAATGTGGGTGCTAAGAGGGATCGGACTGATGTGTTAACAGAAGCTATGACCGAGTCAGCACGGCCAGGGAGTCAGTGTTATTTGAACAGTAAGCGGCCGACCCGTGGGTTCTGGCTCACTCTCCCCGCCACGGCCGGATGACTGGGATGCCAGGTGCTGCCCCTCCGTGGGCCTCAGTCTCCCCCCTTCACACTGAGGAGCCTTGGCTTGGACTAAAGGTTTCTTGAGGTCCCTCCCAAGTTTGTTTAGAAAACTTGGGGGGGGGGGGCAAAGACCTCAAAAGCCCCAAGGGGGCATCCTCTTGACCTGACACTGGGTGCTGCTGCGCCCCAGCTGGGTACTCTCCAGAACCCGGGCGGCCCCGCCCCTCGTATGACTCGCGGCGTCCATGCACTGCCTCCGACACGCGACACGCGGTGGTCGCGCAAACCGCGCAAAACTCCCTCCTCGGCGAGCGCGGGCCGTCATCCTCCCGGTAGCGCCACAGCGACATCTGGTGGCGGAGAGCATCTGTACCACTTGGCTCCCGGCCTGCCTGAGTCAGGGCGGGCCTCTGGGCTTCGGGGCGGGCAGGGCCGAGGCCGAGTGGATACACACTTCCTGCGGGTGTAGCCGGATCGGACGGCGGGGCCGGAGTCTACACAATGGGCCCACGCTCCCGCCCAGCCTGCGTGTACTGTCCCAGCTTCCTCGGAGACGGGTGGGACTGCGGAGCCCCTCCCTCCAAAGCCCCGCCCCGTCCATCAGCTGCTGCTGACAGCGCCTGCGCACTGTCGCACAAGTGCTCGGTTTTGCGAAAGTGCCGCTCTGAAGAAACGTGTCCCATGCGCCACGCCGTCTGTTTCCAGGGCAACCCAGAGTCTCCTAGCAACCCCGCGCGCAGCCTGGGTCGTTTCCAGGTGCCCCCAGCCTGCCATGGCGGCCGCGGGTCCCAGCGTCTTCCTACTCATGGTCAACGGGCAGGTGGAGAGCGCCCAGGTGAGCAGCCGTGGCCCTTGCCCCGCCCTTACCCTCGTCTCCCCCGGGGGCCCGTCCCGCGACCTCCCTGGCTGCTGTGTGGCTGCGGAGAGGCGCGTCGTTCCTGGAGCCTCTCTCATCCCGGGTTAGGCCGGGGAGGGGAACCAGCACTTGAGAAGTTTGACGCGAGGTTGCTGCGAGTCCTCAGCCCCGATGTGCGCGTGTGGAAACAGGCCTGGAGAGGTTGAGCCGGTGCCGAGGGCACGCTCGGCCAAGCCTGTGACCCCTGGTTCGGATCGTGTCCACTTTGTGGAGTCACGGGCAGGAGCCTGGCGCGGGTGTAACGGGAGGAACCGAGTCGCGCAGGCACGCTGGGCTTCGGTCCTCAATTGCTCCGTGCTCTGAGCCCTTCAGTGCTTGAACTTGGATTAGAATGGAGGTGATTTAGTTAATCTGATACAACGATGGTGATCGTGGAAAGATCCAAGGAGAGTGTCCAATCTGACAGGGGACGCTACTCTCCATCCCCCTTCACTTTATAAGAACCGTTTGTCATATTTAAATACACACGTAGATATAGTCACCATGTATTCGCTACGTGCCAGACTGGGCGCCCAGCACCGTTCATTCAATCCGCGCAACAGTCCTGTGAAATGGGTATGACCAGCATCACCGTTTTGCAGATGGGAACACTTGCCCAGAGGCAGTGGCATAGCTGAGATTTGAACCTGGTCTGTCTTATGCCAAAGTTTTGCTGCATTACCCTTCCAGGCTGTTGGAAGATGGTGTTTATTATATTATCGTGAGGATTAAGTGCGACGGTTTGGGTAAGCCCCGCCATCACCTCTTATTAGGTGTCTCTTGAGTTTGTGTTTCATTGGGATTATGCCCCCAGGCACCCACCCAGTCCACGCTCCGCCACCCCCACCCCCGACCCTAGTGCCCAAGACTATCTTCTCCTCTTCTGTCCCCTTAAGGGCCCTTGGCTGGGCTGGATCACAACTGTCTGCAGCGTCAGCACCCAGGCCACCCCCCACTGTGCCTCCCACTCAGTTATGGGCCCCTCTCCCTCTTCAGGCCTTCAACTCCAGCTCTGTGTTTGCTCTGTGTCCTGAGAGCATCTGGGTTCTTCTTAGACCTTTCACTTCATCGGGGCAGGCATCGGGGACAGCAAAACGTCATCACACTTGTTCTCAGCTTGCGGTCAAATGGGGTTGACAGGCAGTCAGAGCTTCAATGGAGGGAAGGACCAGGGGCTGACAGAGCCAGGAGGTGGCCCTTGAAATAGCCTGGAAGTTAGGGCAGGCTCCCTGGAAGGTGAGTTTTGAAGGACAAACAGGAGTTTGCCAGATGAAGGCATGGGAAGGGCATGGCAGACGGAAGGCAGAGGCTGGGCAAAGGCCCAGGGGCAGTAGCAGCCCTCATCCCCGTCTCTTAGGCCACACCCTAGGTGCCTCGTGGGCAGCACTCCTGTTAGCCGCCCTTCCCAGGCCAACACGCTGGCCTCACCCACTGCCTGTAAACAGAACCCGTGTGTGCTTGTTCCACAGTTTCCCGAGTACGACGATCTCTACTGCAAGTACTGCTTTGTGTACGGCCAGGACTGGGCCCCCACGGCGGTAAGCTGGGCTCTTGGGCCTCCCTTACTCTCAGCCTCCGTGACTGTTGGGGTTTCTGAAGGTGTCTGTCATACCCCTTCCTCACCCAGTTCAGAACCAACTGAGAGGTAGACACTGAATTCCAGGGGTTCCGAAATGTGACTTTGTTCCTGGTAAAGCTGGAGTGGAGGACGCAGCCACCGGGTGGGCTCCCCGATCAAGGCTGTGCTCACCCACATGCCTTACCCCCGGCACTTGCACACAGCAGCAGAGAGGAATGTGTGGGCAGCGTGGGCACGCAGGCCCCAGAGGGCCAGCCTGGAAGTGGCCACACCGTGGAGCCTCTGGGCCAGTCCCTTCGCCCTGTGGCCTCTCCTCGCTCATGGGGAGGACTCTGGGGAGTCAGGAGGCAGAGTGGAAGCTCTCCTTGTGAGACCTCCCTGGGGACAGTCTGTCTCCAGCAGAGAGGGGCTGTGACGGCACGTATACTGTACTGTGTGCCTGACACGTGCTGTACAGCGAAGTGATGACACTTATTCTCTGTTCACCCACTAACCGAATAACTATGGCCGGTCTTCTGGGTGACGGGGATTCAGTGGTGAACAAAGCCAGACGAGAGTCCCGGTCTCTCTTAGGTGTGCATTCTTGTGGGGCGAGGCCGACATTAAGCGCTAGTGTTCTAGTATGTTCTAGTGAAAAGTGCCAGGGAGAAAGGAGAGCCAGGAAGGGAGGTGTGCAGGATAGAGGGAAGCTGGAATCTAGATGAGGAGGCCTGAGAAGGCCTCCCTGAGAAGGTGACTTTGGGTAGAGACCTGAAGGAAGTGCAGAGGCGCACGGGCCCTGAGGCGGGGGCGCGCCTGGTGTGCTTGAGGAGCAGGGGGAGGCCAGTGACGAGCATGGGCAGGCAGGACTGACGGAGAGTGACCGGGGATGAGGCGGGGTGGGGGGGAGGGGTCAGAGACGGGGCAGGTCTTGGAGGACACAGTAAGTCAGCGTGAGCCAGCCTCACACAGGGTGACATGGACGCCCTCACAGAGTCTAGAACAGAGAGAAAGTGACCCATCTTGTGTTTTGCAAACTCCTCTAGCTTCTGTGTTGTCAGTAGACGGGGAGCAGGGGCCAAAGCAGGTACACCACAGACGGTTACCAGACACCAAGGGACAGAGATGGCACGTGGACAGGGCCAGCGCTGGGGGTGATGACAGGTAGTGGGGGGAGACACGGGGCTTTCCTGCTGGACGGCTGTGGGCTGTGACAGAACGTAGCCAAGTAACACCAAGCCTTCCAGCCGGGGCACTTAGGGGCAGAGCTGCCATCTGATGAGAAGACTAGACAGAGCAGATCTGGGAGAGCTTTCCAGAGCCCAGCCCGGCAAGTGTTGAGGTTCCCACTAGATGTCCAGACGGAGGTGCCTGGTGGGCAGTGAGGGCGGGGCCATGCTGATCTGCGGGTCAGAGGAGAGGACCAGGCTGGGGACACGGGTTTGGGAATCAGCCACCCCCAGGCCATGGCAGCGGCCCCGAGACGGCTGAAGTCATGGGTGCCGGTTAGAGGAGCGTCCCAACACGGAGCTCAGGGACGCTCCCACAGAAGGAGCAAGTGCTGACAGCCACAGTGGGGGCCACCCCTCCCTTGAGGAGGAAAGACCCGAAGACGTATGTATGGTGTCCCAGAGCCACATGGGGGGGGGGGGGCTGTCAGGAAGCCACCAGCCGTGTCCCGTGCTGCCGCTGGGTCAGGTGAAGTGAGAACGGGGAAGTGTCCAGTGCCGGGGTCACTGGTGCTGCTCGACAAAACACTTTGGTGGAGCGGGAGCCTGTAGTCAGGTTGAGTGAGTTCCAGAAGCAAAGCAGAGAAGGAACTGGAGCCAGGGGTCTGCACAGCTGTTGGAAGGAGCTCGCTTGGTGGGCAGCATGGAGCGGCTGACGGGCTGAGGAAGGGGAGGCGGGGGTGTTTCGGGAGAGGGAGGACCGCCCGCACTCGTGCTCCCACAGGAGGTGTCGGGGTGCAGTCGGTCATGTCAGAGGGGAAGAACCGGCCGGAGCGGGTGCCCCGGGCTGGCGAGGGGGGGCGTGCGCCCACTTGGCCCCAGGTCATCAAGCTCGAACTGGATAAAACCCGAAGGGACCTAGGAGCTGCTCCACGACGTCGTGGGCCCTGTTGTTTGGAAGTTAGCGTGTGGGCAGAAGTGAAGGACGCGGCCCTCCCGCCTGCCCGCCCAGGGAGGGGGCGAGCGTGGCAGCTGGAGCTGGGGCACTGGCCGTCCCTGTCCCTGTCCTCACAGGGTCTGGAGGAGGGCATCTCACAGATCACATCTAAGAGCCAAGACGTGCGGCGGGCGCTGGTGTGGAACTTCCCCATCGACGTCACCTTTAAAAGCACCAATCCCTACGGCTGTGAGTCGGCAGGGGTCCCGCAGGGACCGGGATGGGGAGGTGCCCCCAGGACAATCCGGGCCCAGGGGGCGGGTGGGCTGTGTTGCCGCCTGGCCATTCCCCTCCACTCCCCACCCCGGTTCGCCTCCGTGCCATGCGGAGGACGCTGGGAGCGCAGAGCCCGGCAGGTGAGGCCCCAGCCTGCGCCGCTGACAGCTCTGGCCTGGCAAAGCACAGCCTGGCATCCGGGACTGCGGCGGCCTAGCCCGCAAGGCTCTCAGCTTGAGCCGCCTGCCCCTCCCGTGCACACCCCTCCAGTCACCTCTCTGAGCCTTGGTTCGTGCCGTCCCCTCTGCCTGGGACACCCCTTCCCAGCGCCCTCGTTGCTTGCAGTGCTTACTATCTACGTTGTGCAATGGTTAGAATTCACTCTCCCTTGATAGCCGCGTGCAAAACCTGGGGTCGCTCCAGAGGGGCTGTGAATACCGCCCCCGTGTGGCCCTGTCCGAGCTTCCCACTCCTGTGCGGTGGGCAGACTGCTCCGTTTCTTTTCCCGTGTTAGGAAACGACACAGAAAGTGACGTTGCTTGCCTTCAACTTTGTATCTAGGAGCTGAGTGTGGATTGGCTTTCAGGTCCATCTGATTTCATAGTCTGGGCCTTTCTGTGGCCCGGGGCCTAGGCTTACCGCGCCCAGAGGGTCCGGAGCAGGGGCTGCTGGCGGTCCTTCTGGCTAGGAACTGCATCTTGTCATTATCCACGAGTAAGATGCTTCCATAGATGCCTTTTTTTTTTTTTAATGTTAATTTCTTTTAGAGAGAGAGTGCACAAACTGGGGGTAGGGGCAGAGAGAGGGAGAGACACAGAACTCGAAGCAGCTCCACGCTCTGAGCTGTCAGCACAGAGCCGGACACGGGGCTCAAATTCACAAACTGTGAGATTGTGACCTGAGCCGAAGGTGGACACTTACCTGACGGAGTCCCCCAGGCGCCCCTTCCACAGGCTTCCTGGAATGGGGCACTGGCTAATGGAGTAGTCTCCTACTGCCCAAGGAAGCTGCGAGACATGGATAAAATATTAAAAAGCAAAACCAAACACAACTCTTTGAAGGCACCAGAGAGCTAGCCACGTATTGGAGATTTACCAGGCCAGGAGCTGTGAGAAAGCAATCTAGAGACGTGAGCCCAATCACATCACCCCTGGGGGTATTTGCTGACTCTGCCAGAGGTGACTGAGAGGCTGATTGAGATTTTTGATAGCTGCACTGCGTTTGGGGCACAAGAGTCAAGAAAATCCCTGCTACTTGGACGGAGAGCTCGAGGTGCTGTACCCTGGGAGGAAGGGAGAAGCAGCCCAGCTCCAGATCATTCCAGACCTTGAACGTGGTGGCAAAACCCCCAAACAAAATATTCATAAGCCAAATCCAGCAGGATGTAAGAGGGAGGATACATCCTGAACAAGTCTGGTTTATTCCCAAAATACAAAGTATGTACATGAAACATCTGAAATCAACCCGTGTGATTCACTGCTTTAAAAAGAAGGAAAGTCACGATCGTCTCTATAAATGAAGAAAAATTCAACATCCATTCATGATAAACACTTAGCGAACTAGGAATAGAAGGAAACTTTCTTAATCTGATGAAGGTTCTCTATAAAACACTTAGAGCAAACATCACCTTTCTGAAGTGAAATGGTGAAAAATTTCCTTCTTTTTGGCGCCATCACAAAAGGTATAAGGATTAGGGAGGCCAGCACTGTCGGTCTTCACAGGTGACCGTGTGTACGTAGAATGTGCAAAATGGGGGTGCCTGGGTGGCTCCATCAGTTGAGCGTCTGACTCTTGGTTTCGGCTCAGGTCATGATCTCATGGTTTGTGAGCTCCAACCCTGCATCGCATTCCACACTGACAGCGGAGAGCCTGTGTGGGATTCTCTCTCTCCCTCTCTCTCTGCCCCTCCCCTGCCTACTCTCTGTCTCTCCCCCTCTCAAAATAAATAAACTTAAAAAAATTTTTTTAATTATTTTTTAAATGTTTTTTATTTATTTCTAGGAGAGAGAGAGAGAGAGACAGCATAAGCAGGGGAGGGTCAGAGAGAGAGGGAGTCACAGACTCTGAAATAGGCTCCAGGCTCTGAGCTGGCAGTCAGCACAGAGCCCGACGCGGGGCTCGAACCCACGAACCGCGAGATCATGACCTAAGCGAAAGTCGGACGTTTAACTGACTAAGCCACCCAGGTGCCCCTAAAAGTTTTTTGTTTTTTTTTTTTTTTTAAAGAATGCACAAAATGATCTACGGATAAGTTCTAGAATTAATAAGTCACCACAAATGCCAGATATGGGATGGACATCCAAAAACCAGTGGCTTTCTGTATAAAAATAACTAAAATGTGTACATATAAAGTGAATCAAAAGTGGTATTTTGAAAAGAAATTCTTTACAGGATCAAAATATAAGTTGTTCTATGACACCTCAAGCTTCAATTTAATTTTAAAGCAGAATAACTAAGGCAGTGTAGTTCTTACACACGGAGAGACAGACAGACCCAGAGAGAGCCCCAGGACAGACCTAAGCGTGTGTGGACCGTTGACTCGTGACAAAGGGCACTGTGGAGCAGGACGGGAAGGCGGGTCTTCTTGATAAAAGGAACCGAGACACTCGGATATGCACAGGGACGTGAAACCTGCTCTCCGCACCCCTGCCGCACCTGTGCACGTCAGCCAGCTCCAGGAGGGTGTGTAAATGGAAACACGAAAGCAAAGTAGCAAAGCTTCAGGAAGGTAGCCTGGGGCGCTAGAGCTGTGCTATCAGGTAAGGGAAGACTTCATCAAAGGACTTTTTTTTTTTTTTTAAACTTATTTTGAGAGAGGGGAAGAGATAAAGGGGGACAGAGGATCTAAAGCGAGCTCCAAGGTGATAGACAGCAGAGAGCCCCATGTGGGGCTTGAACTCATGAACCATGAGTTTTGAGTTTATCTCCGGAGCTGAAGTCAGACGCTTAACTGACTGAGCCATCCAGGCGCCCCTTCAAAGGACTTTCTAAAGGAAAGATCCATGGATTTGGCCATATTCAAATTAAGGGCTTCTATTCATCAGAAGATAGGAATTGCTGTGAAAAAGGCCACAGAATATCACACACATGAACATTATGCATCAATGAGAAAAAGATCCTTCCAGTAGAAAGGTGGGCAAGAGACTGAACAGGGACCTCACAAAAGGGGACATACAAGTGACCCGGACACAGAGCAGGGCCTCAGCTTTATTTTAGTAAGAAAGGTTACAGTTAAGGAAAATGCAAACTAAAGCCACCATGAGGGGCGCGTGGGTGGCTTAGTCTCAGCCTCTTGAGTTCGGCTCAGGTCATGATCTCGTAGTTCGTGAGTTTGAGCCCCACGTCAGGCTCTGTGCTGACAGCTCGGAGCCTGGAGCTTGCTTCACATTCTGTGTCTCCTGCTCTCTCTGCCCCTCCCCTGCTCACGCTCTTTCTCTCTCTTTAAAAAAAAATATTTAAAAGTATTAGAAATTTTTTAAAAAAGTTAAGCCACTGTGAGTTGCCACAGCCGAGGTAAGTTGCCATAGCTCAGGCAAGAAAGCTGGAGGACCCCAAGCTTCGTGACCACGTGGTATGATGGGAACTCCAGTCACTGGTGGGAGTGTTTGGGGGACACCACCCCTTTGGGAGGTGGCCCCGTGTTTGTTTTCATACCCCGGACACGTGCCCAGCAGAAACGTGTGCGCACGTGGGGCCCTAGCCTGGGCGAGAGTAGCAGAGTGCTCCCAGCCTCGCCATCTGGGGGGGTCCCCCAAGGAGAAACTACCCACGTGTCCGTTGGCACTAGAGTGAACCATGTCCTCATGGTCTGCCCAGAGCCAGAATGTTCCCCAGTGTTGAAAACGAGCAAAACCCCACACATGACAGTTTGATCGAATCTCATGGACATGATGTTGAATTCTGAAGAAGCTGGACCCTAGGGCACCGGCAGGGTGGGGGTGGGGAGCTCGGTCAGTTGACCATCTGATTCTTGATTTTGGCTCAGGTCATGATGCCAGGGCTGTGGGATCGAGCTCCACATTGGGCTCAGCGCTGAGTGTGGAGCCTGCTTAAGATTCTCTCTCTCTCTCTCTCTCTCTCTCTCTCTCTGTCTCCCTCCCTATGCCCCTCTCCCTTGCTCATACTCTCTCTCAAATTAAAAAAGAAAGAAAAGCTAGGTAACAATACACATACTATATGATTCCATTTGTATGTACACATACTATATGATTCCATTTGTATGAGGTTTTTTTTTAAAAAAAGTTTTTAATGTTTTATTTATTTCTGAGAAAGAGAGAGAGACAGCATGAGCAGGGGAGGGTCAGAGAGAGAGGGAGATACAGAATCTGAAACAGGCCCCAGGCTCTGAGCTGTCTGCACAGAGCCCTACAAGGGGCTCAAACCCACGAACCGTGAGATCATGACCTGAGCTGAAGTTTGATGCTTAACCGACTGAGCCACCCGGGCACCCCACGTTTTTTAAAAATGGGTAAAACCAAAGTACCGTGTTTAGCATGCATTCTTTGGCAGTGAAGACTTCAGAGAAGTGCTTCTGTTGAGTCAGAATAGCGGTTCCCTTCAGGGGGGCGGGGTGGTGATGGGAAGGGTGCCACCCTCTCCTTAAGGCCGAGTGCTCGACCCACACTGCTCTCCGTGTCTTTGGAGGGAACCGAGAGGCCAGGAAGGGAGGTCGTTGCCCGAGGCCGGTCCTGCGGGGCTGCAGGGTCAGCCTGCTTGCTCACCTGTCACCTGGGGTGATTCCTTCCTTATGTTCAGTGGATGAATATATGGAGCCAGGTGACAGGGCCTGATGCACCTCGATGTTTACAGGGAACAAGCGTGATCGGTAGTAATTTAAAGGAAAGTACACGAGGAAGGTCATTGCCATCTCTCTGACCTCTCCCTCGGAACCCCGAAACCAGCCTCTCTGGCCCACAAGCCCACACGACATGCGCTGCAGGCTGACCACCTCTATCAGATAGGAAGCTCCCGAGAAGCGGCCCCTTTGCTCGGTCCCCAGCTGGGCCCCTGTGGCTTGTACGGAGGAGAAAAGTGCCTTCGGGCACGCCCCGTGCATGTCAGATCACAGGGTCGGCACGGCCTCCCGGTATCCGGGCTGAGCAGGGGGCCTAGCCAGCGCGGTCCGGTCCCCACCGCGGTCCCCACCTGCCTCCCTGGACTCTGGGTGGGCAGAAGCCATTAGTAGAGAGGGGGGGTCCTTTGTCCACTCCTGCCCTGTGTGCAGCTCACCGCCCCCAGGGCCTTGAGTGCCACCTGTGTTCTCTGCCTGGCACCTTCCCCACAGTTTCCCCACCTGCTGACCCTGCATCTTGTGCCTCCCAAGGGCCACAGATCGTGCTCAGCGTGTATGGACCGGACGTGTTTGGGAACGACGTGGTCCGAGGCTATGGGGCAGTGCACCTGCCCTTCTCGCCCGGCAGGTAGGTGCCAGCTCTGACCGGGTCCCTGGGCCGCAGTCCATCTCTTGCTGGGCCATGCTGGCTCAGAACCGGGGCACCCCCAGCAGGCCTATTCCTAGGACAGATGTCGCGTCTGGCTGGGGATGCCCTGGGGTCCCCAGGAGCCTGGGCAACTCGGTCTGGGGGGCTGTGGGCTAGAGCCCATATCTGGGAGGAGGCCCATGTGGGTGAAGCTAGGGCTGGGCCCCCAGACGGCAGGCGGGAGGGAGAGTGTCAGAGGCCCCAGCAGGGAGCGCTGGGGGCTATCCTGTGAGGGGCTGGGCCCAGCGACAGTTCGTAGGCACTTTGGGACCGCGGTTCGGACACCCTGTGTACTCCTCGGTTCCTGCCCCCTCAGCGTCCCGCGAGCTGTCACTGATCCCCCTTCTGTGCCCGGCCCCGCTGACGTTAGTGTGACACATGGCCCTTCCTCAGAAGCCCCCAGAGTGGTAGACACAGACGGAGAGAAGCGGCCCTCTTGTTAAGCAGGGTGGCAGAGGGGAGGTTTGTGGAGAGGAGTGGGGGAGGGGTGTGAAGGGCAGGATGGGGGCAGGTGGCCGCAGTGAGGAGGGTCCGGGGAGTCGTCAGGGGCTTCCTGGAGGGTGTTTGGAGTGTGGAGGCCAGGGCCTCCGAGGGGCAGTGTGAGCCGGGCCTCCGGGCTGTAGCCTCCTGACCCTTTACAGGAAACGGACTTGCGCGGACTCTGGCCTCCTCGAGGTCGGGCCTAGTTTTTCCGCCTCACCCTCCCAGTGCTGAGCACCCGGCCTGGGCCCTGTGGGTGCAGCCCGTGCCGGCTGGACGGGTGGCCTGCCCCTGACTTGGTGCGGCCTGGCTAACAGCCCCTGCTCACTGGAGGCTCGGAAGGTTCCATTGCTTTTCTGTGACTCAGCACAAGCGTCTGTGAAAACATGTGTTTCAGGCACAAAAGGACCATCCCCATGTTTGTCCCAGAATCCACGTCTAAACTGCAAAAGTTTACAAGGTGAGTTTTCTACATGTCGCCTCCAGCCCCCACTTCTGACCCAAGCAGGGGAGCGGAGGGAGGGCTGCCACAGTCCCTCACTGTGCCGGGTGACACCGTCTTCCTCCCACTGCTCTGTCTTTGGGGACACATGGAAACGGGTGCTGCGTGGCTTCTGGGGGTCACCAGGCTCCCGTCAGCCACTGCTCCAGCTGCGGAAGGCCGTGCATGTGACCCGTGCTGCGGTTTGCGTCGGAGCAGAGCAGGTGGGGACGTGCTCATGACGTAGCACGGCGTTAAGAAGGTAGGACGCAGGATTCCGCAGTAGGAGCCAAAAGAACAGAAATAACTCCCGAGGGGCGCCTTCCGTCAGGAAATGCCTCACACGTGGGAGCCTCTTCGAGGAGGGGACACCTGAGCAGAAACTAGAAGAGAAGTAAGGGCCAGGGTGGGCGGTCTGGGGAAGGAATGTTCCAGGCATAGGAAACAGCATGTGCAAGGCCCGTGGGCTTAGTGTGTGAGGAGGGGCCGGGACCAGGTGTTGCTGGTCAGCGGTGGACGGGGAGGGGGAGACGCCAGGGAGGCAGGGAGTGCGCACGGACGCGGGGGGCGCCGGACCAAGCCCTGTCGCCCCTCACCACAGCTGAGTCGATGACTCGCAGGGGACAGGAGCACAGCTGCGAGCCACCGCTGCTCCCCGCCAGCCCAGCCAGGCGGGGGCCCCGCGCCGTCTGTTCACAGCAGGATGTGGGGAAGACGGGGGGCCATCAGGGTCCCTGGTGGCAGCTGACGAGCAGCCCCCGCAGGCCCGGCCGTACCGGGGTGAGCCCGGCCCGAACCCTGCTCTCTGCGCAAGGGGGCAGCGCCGGACCTGAGCCAGGGAAGCCTCCCTGAGTTCTGAGGCGTGGGGGGGGGAGACGTGGGGTGCCCCCCGCCCTCTGGGAGGCCACCGTGGTGGGAAGGGGCCTATTACCCGGTGCCCTGGGCCAGCGTCAGCTAGAGCGGACATCGTGCACCCCACGGGACTGTCGGGAGAGTGGGGGCCAGTGCTCACCGGTGGGTCCGGGGAGGTTTAGGGCTTTGAGCCCACACGGCTGTCCGGCCCGGGGCGTTCATGCCGCTCTTCGTCCTCCAGCCCTGAGGGAAGCCTGGGTCTCAGGGCCACGTCCCTCTCAGGAGAAGTTAGGCCTTATGGCTTACACAGCAGGCGACATTCTGCCGGTGCCCGAGGGAGAGCAGCTCGGGGCAGCGGTGGGGGCGGGGGCAGGGGGCGATCTCCCCCTCCCCCGGGCAGGGCGCATGCGCTTGGACTGTGGACACTGGAGGAAGGGCCAGTTAGCGAAGGCAGTTTGATCAGGCTCTTCCCAGACGAGGCCCGGCCTGCGTGGAGGCCGCCCTGTGACAGGCTCCCAGTGGCCTTTGCTCCCCCCCAAGCCTTCTTATTCCTGCTCCCCACCCTGCCCCCCTGGCTCAGCCCACCTGGTCCCGGTCCCCCCCCCGCCCCCCCCCGTAGAGTTTCCTGGGGCCGCTGTAACCAATCACCACCAACTCCACGCCTAAACAACAGCATTTATTTTCTCATGCAAAGATCCGTTTCCCAAGTAAGGTCACATTTGCAAATTCCAGGGACCAGGACCTGATATCTGGGGGGCCACTGTCCAGCCTATGACAGTGCCTCCCGGTGAGTCTTCACGTAGCGACAAAAATGGTTTTCTTTTTATTTCTTTTTTTAAATTTATTTCTGAGAGAAAGTGTGAGCAGGCGAGGGTCGAGAGAGAGGGAGACACAGAATCTGAAACAGGCTCCAGGCTCTGAGCTGTCAGCGCAGAGCCCAATGTGAGGCTCAAACCCATGAACTGTGAGATCATGACCTGAGCCGAAGTCAGATGCTCAACTGACTAAGCCACCCAGGCGCCCCCAAAAGTGGTTTTCTAAAACGACTGGAGGAAGCACTCAAGCGCAGCTCCGCATTTTGGGTTAACTTCTGCGAGGGTGCTGTGAAGCCCTGCGTTCTCCTGCCCTCCGGCCCTCCGACGTGGCTCCTCCAGCCCGCTGGGTCCTTCCCCGCCTCCGGCCCCTGCCTGGACGCTCTACCCAGCATCCCTCGGACCCCTACCCTGAACCACCTGCCCTCCTGGGCCTCGGGAGAGGAAGCAGTGCGGCGGCTCCGGGTGTGAGTGCTGGGGCGTGCCTCGCCCGTGGTGGCTGCTTCCCGTGCCGGTGAGGTGGACAGCCCCACTCCTCAGATGGAGAAACTGAGGCACAGAGAGGTGGTGGTGCGCCCATCCAGCCCTGGCAGGAAGCCTGGCTTCCCAGTTCCCCTATCCGCCCCCCTCTCGAGGCCAGGAGCCAGTGAGCCCCCTACTGGGTCTCCACTGGGGCTGCAGACTGCAGGGGGCAGGCTTGGCTTCGGCCCCTGGGCAGCACCCGGTGGGTGGTGGGGGCTGGCGGAATCCGGGTGGCCTGGGCCCAGGGGTGACTCCAGCTGGAGCCAGACGGGCTGCTGGTTGTGGAGGGTGCTGGGCAGCCACGAGGAGGGTGGCTCTGCTGGGGCAGAGCGCAGGCCACTGTAGGGGGAGGCAGGGCGGAGCCTGGACCCATAGACGGAGGGGCCTCCTTCCCCGTGGGGAGCCCACCACCCATAGCCGCATCACTGGTGTTCCCTACCACCAGCAGGGCCCCAAAACCCAGGCTGGAGGTGCTCCTGGATGGGACATGCCCACGTCTGCCTGGCCCACCCGGCTGGAAATGTGCCCCAAATGGTTTCCGGCCTGAGTGGGTGTGTGGGAAGCGAGGCTCTGGCCGCAGGGCCGGGAGCTGAGCTGGGACCACGGGGAGGTCCAGCGTCACGCTCCTGCTGTGGCCTTGGGCAAGTCACCGTACCGCCCTTAGCCTCTGACGGGAGGGCTTTACAGAGCAGGGCCCCTGTGAAGGGCGGGTGGACAGTGGGCACGGCGGGGGCCCCGGCACTGAGTGTGCACCCCTCACATCAGTGACTGTGGAGTCAGGTGATCGTGTCGGTCACCCCCAAGCAAGCCCACCCTTGGGGCAGGTGCATGTCAGAGCGAGAAGCGTAAATCGGAGGGTTAACGTTTCTCATGGCAGCTGACAGAGTGCATTCACCTAGGGCCCTGGGAGCTGGGCGCCGTTAGGTACAGGCCAGAGGCACAGGGCTCAGGGGTTCAGAGATGATGGGTACCGAGAGGGAAGGGGAGAGCCCGGGTCTGGCCCCTCTGCCCGCCCCAAGGAGGCCGAACTCCCAGATGGGGCCTTCCTTCCCTGGGAGGATGGAGGGGACACAGTGTGCTGCTGCCCTCGTTCTGGGATTGCCACTTGGGTCCCCACTGTGCCCCCAGCCCCACCTCCCACAGTGGCTGTGACGGGAAAGCCCGGCATCCAGCTGAGGAGGGGTGGGGCACAGAGCCCCACACGCTGGGCGGAAGCCACACATGGCACCCAGCCTCGCCTTGCGGGGGCAGAGGGAGGTGGCCTGGGAAGGTTCTGGGATGGGGGGTGGGAGGAGGGCTGCTGTTGCTGAAGCAGGGGGAGAGCCCACGTCTGGGGTGGGAGGGAGGGCCAGGCCGGGGATCTGCTCACCCAGGTCCTCCTGTCTTCCAGCTGGTTCATGGGCCGGCGGCCCGAGTACACAGACCCCAAGGTGGTGGCCCAGGGTGAAGGCCGGGAAGGTAAAGCTTGATCCCCTGAGCCCCACCCCCCCCATAGGAGCCTGGGAGGGACTGGGGAGACCCCCACAAACAGGGTGGAAGCCAGGGACCTGCCAGGCACACAGAGGGACTGCGAGGGCAGGACCCAGGCATTTCCCCAGAGCACCTCCCAGTGAGGGGCACGGCCAGGCAGTCATTCCCATTTTACAGGACAGAACGCTGAGGCCGAGAGTTTCCCAAAGCAGCCCGGCTGATGCTGCCCTTCTCTCCCCAGTGACCCGCGTCCGCTCTCAGGGCTTTGTCACACTCCTCTTCAACGTGGTGACCAAGGACATGAGGAAGCTGGGCTACGACACTGGGCCTTCTGACACGCAGGGCATCTCAGGGCCCAGCCCGCCACAGGGACTGCCCCGGTGAAGGCATCCAGCCCCCGCCCCCGCCCGCTGGATCCCCGGTCCACTAGATCAGGCCCCGCCCACCGGATCCGGCCAGGTGGCCCTTCGGACAAAGCGGATTGTCCTTCCAGAGAGTCGGCCCCGGATACATCTGCTTGACGTGCAGCCTCATGGGACTGGGGGGGTGGGGGGTAGAGATTTTCTATAATAAAGCCTCACCTTTTCACAGAACCCAGGCCTGGAGCTGCCCCCTCCCCTCGAGCACACCCCTCCCTCGACCCCTCCAAGTGAGGGGACAGAAGCTGCCCCGAGAGGCACAGCGGGACAGCCAGCCAGGCTGCGAGCTTCGGCTCAAGCCCAGTTCTGCTGCCCGTGGCTGTGTGGCCTTGTCCTCGCGCCACACACGCATCCGCGACACAGGTGCGTCCCCACCGCCGAGACCTTCAGAGTGGCGCAGCGGAGCGTGCTGGGGGCCCGGCCCGGTGCCCGCTGTGTGTGCCGCGTGCCTGCCGGCCTCCCTCGGCGAGGAGACGAATGTCGTCGTAGGAGCCACACGGAGACCCCCGGCCCGCGCTCTGCCGACCCCTGACCCCGCAGCCCAGACAACCTCCTGGAGGCCGGAAGGTGCTGGAATCCCAGCTCTCCGGCCCCCACAGGGCAGGGGGTGCACCGTGCAGCCCAGCCCCCTGTGCTTCGGGAGCTGAGCCCTCTCGACGCCCCAGTCCCCGTGGCCTTGCCGTGGTCACCCAGCCTGCCCTCAGCCTGGGGACGGGACCTAGCGCTCGCCCGGGCCCCTCGCTACCTGGCACCACTGGCCCAATTTAAGGGGAGTCACAGAGTGCCCACGCCCAGCTCTTCGTAACCCTCTGCCTCCCAGCCTGAAGGCCACCAGCTTCGCCCCTACACACTGCCCTGCAGTGGGAACCTGGCCCCCGACACTACTGGGTGGACCCTGTTCGGCCCTTTACCACTCGGTTCCCTCCACCCCGGCTGGGCCCTGGCACGGTGGCCGGTGGTCAGCAAAATTCCTACGATTCTGACCCCTCCTCTCTGAATGCAGAGTCCCCCCCTGCCCCGCCCCGCCGGCCTGTGCTAAAACGCACACTGTCCCTTGCCACACTCTTCTTTTCCCAACAAGTCCCGGCCATTTACGCACACAGTCCTCCTGACTGGGGTCCTTTTGCTGCCACGCCTCATGTGCCATGGGAGCTTCGTCCTCGCCCCCAGCGCCCGGAGCTGACTGCCACCAAATACCTGACTGCAGTGCCCTGGGCCTTTTTCTCCCATTCTTTTTTTTTTTTTTTTTTAAAGTTTATGTATTGTGAGAAAGAACACGTGCACAAGCGGGGGAGGGGCACAGAGAGGGAGAGGGAGAGAATCCCAAGCAGATTCCATGCTGTGAGCGCAGAGCCCGACGAAGGGCTCGATCTCTCGATGGGGAGATCACAACCTGCGCGGAAATCAAGAGTCGGACACTCAACTGACTGAGTCCAGACAGATGAGCCTTCATACAACTTGGCTTCTTCCTCAGCCTCCTCCCTTGCAATGACCTTGGCCTTGCCCCTCAACAGCCGCCCATACCACCGCCTGTTGCTTGTTACCAGTGCCTCCACCCAAGCGTCCCCCTCCCAGCCCACTTCCTTCCCACCTTGTGAGTCCTTCCCTGTGGTCCCCGCTCAACAGTCAGTCCACTGCATCCTGGTCCTCCGAGCCACCCGCCACCACCTTTGTGCAGGCCATCAGCCCCTGCTCTCCTCACCCGCCCAGTTTAGAATTCACGGTGGTCATTACAGGGACAGGCACGTTCGTGCTATGTCCTCAACTGCCCGTGTCCTGTCCCATGTCCTCACCCGGCCATCCTGGGCCCTGTGAAAGCCAGCCGTGGGCCTGCGCCATGCTGCGGGCCAGGCATGGTCACAGCAGGCAGCCCCGGGCCTGCCAGGCTCGGGCTGCAGCCAGGGCGGCCTCCCGGCTGCAGGCGGACCCAGCTCTCCGGGCATCTCAGAGAAAACCGTCTTTTTTCCTCTTCCGACCTCCAGGAGGCCTCGCCCTCAGCTGAAGGGCTCACGACAAAAAGGAAATGACTCAAGACGGCGCCTGGCTGGCTCAGTAGGAGGAGTGTGGGACTCTTCATCTCGGGATTGGTGAGTTCGAGCCCCATGTTGGGTGTAGAGTTTTCTTAAAAAAATAAAATCTTAAAAAACAACAACAAACGGGCCCCTGGGTGGCTGAGTCGGTTGGGTGGCCGACTTCGGCTCAGGTCATGATCTCATAGGTTTTGGGTTCAAGCCCCGTGTCAGGCTTTGTGCTGACAAGTCTGGAGCCTGGAGCCTGCTTCAGATTCTGTCTCCTTCTCTCTCTGACCCTCCCCTGTTCATGCTGTCTCTCTCTCTCAAATATAAACATTAAAAAGATTTTAACTGCAAAATGGAACAGAATGATAAGAGGGTGAAGCATGGTGTCATCGGTGCTGGCATCCCAGGCCCGACAGGAAGGTGGTTTTGGGGCAGCACCGGGCACAGGCTGACGGGCTGGGCCCGGACGAGGAGGTGGCCTGTGGGTCCGGCCTTCCAGAGCTGCAGGGGAGGGAGGCGGAGAGAGGAGAGGCACGCTGAGGGCCCCGGGTTCTGCGGGCGCAGCTGCTTGCAATGTGAGCCGTGTGGAGGCAGGAGCAGCCCATGGGCATGGGGTCTCGTAAGACCTCAGGGGGCACCATGGACGTGTCTGGAGCAAATGGGGGGCTGGGGCCCGGGCCTGGTGGAAGAACAGAGGGAGCTCTTGTTTTTGTTTTGTTTTAAATTTTTTTAGTGTTTATTTTTTGAGAGAAGGAGAGAGAGAGAGTGTGACACAGAATCTGAACCAGGCTCCAGGCTCCGAGCTGTCAGCACAGAGCCTGATGCGGGGCTGGAACCCATGAGCCGTGTGAGATCATGACCTGAGCCAAAGTCAGTGCTTAACCGACTGAGCCACCCAGGTGCCTCCATTCTGCAGTTTTTAAATTTATCGACATTTTCTTATTGACATGTTCAAACACAGGAAAAGTCAGAATGTCCCAGCGAACGGCCAGCCAGCCTCAACTCAGTCCCTGTCGCCATCTTCCCACCCTTGCGTTCTCTTCCTCCCTTCCCTCTGTCCGACTTTTAGTGCAAACAAGACGCAGGCATCACGACACCTCCTTCTGCACATGGCGGCTGCCCTTCCTTAACTATGGTTTGCTACTTGCTTCCCGGTGCCATTTGTTTCCTTTGAGGGGACGTTTACGCAAAATGAAATGCACACATCTTAATTTTCATCCACGTGCTGAGCTCCGACAATGCGTGCCCAACATCCTTGTCAAGGTGTAGAATGCGACCATCTCGTCGGAAAGCTGCTTCATGCTCCTCCCAGTCAGGGCAGGAGAATGCTGGAAACTTCGGAGGCATTCTGTGCCTGGGAACTGGGGAGCAGGTTGGAGATCTGTGACCCTTCCCATGAGGAACAAGGGGGACGGCCCCAAGGTCACCCCACGCTGTTGCCTCTGTCCTCCGCTGTGAGAAAGCTGTGTGCTCACAGGACCATCTCCTCTTTCTCCTGGGCTCACAGGACTGCATCTTCCCAGGCCCCTTGCATACAGCCGGGTCCCTGCGAGTTGTTCTGGCCAAAGACACGTGGGCTTGAGAGCCGTTCACCGCCCCTACGCCTGACCCATTTAAAACCTCCCTTGAGCAATCCTTCCCTTCTTACTTTTCCATGGCATTCTGGAGACCACATTTTGGAGACAGAACGTGGTAATGGAGGAGCCTGGGTCACTGAGCCGCCAAGAGCAGCCCATTGGGCCTTTCTGTGAGCAACTTTATTGTGTTCCGGCACAGAGAGTTTGGGGTTTATTTGTTCGAGCAGAGCCTACTCTATCCTGACACAGATACCGGGCTCAGGAGTGGGTTTCCCCTACAACCAAAACCAAGTGTATGTGGTACTGGCTTCTCAGTGGGGCGGGGGGTGGGGGCGGGGGCAGGAAGAATACAGAGGAAAGACTGGACAGCAGGACAGCCCTACTCTGTGAGCACTAAACTAGGTTAAGACACTCTTGCTAACTCGGGAGACAGGCTCTCTGCCTGCTGAACCATCGCTGGGATAGGCAGGGGTGGGTGACCGCAGGCTGCCGTTACTGCCCCTGGAAAGCTGGCACGGTCGCGCAGGGAGCTCAGGAAAGCCCAATGACAGAATGGGAGAATCCAAAACTTTGGGGGCATCGAGAGGTTGGAAAAGGAATCGGTTTCTAGAAGTCAGGTGGGAAGATAAGAAATGAAAATGCTTTGAACACTAAAGTCCCAGTAAAACTTCTCATCGGGACAAGTAACAGCCTCCTGGAATCGGTTTTCAGGGGGGACACGCCTACCATCACCCCAAATGGCCTCAAGAGGAGCTACCAGTGAGTTGAAGGAATAGTAGGGTGAGACGGCAGGGAAACAGGGCGGGATTGTGTGTGTGCTTGTTACCTACTGCCGTGTAACAAACTACCACCATATACGCTCTCTTGTGATTCTGCGACTCTAGGTTGCCTCCGTTGGGGGCCGGGGTACACTCTGTGTAGAAGAATGCAATCTACACATGGTGACCACAAGGCCCGCTGTGACAGAGACCCCGCTGTGACAGAGACCCGCCGTGTTAACCTAACTCACTTCCTGTCCCCCAGGGGACAAAGGAAGCCTGCGTTTCCCCATTTCCCGGCTCCTTGCTGGAGCCCTGGGGCCGGTGCGGGCGAGGGGCTCGGGGAGAAGCCACTGCCAGACTTGGCCCCTAGGAAACCTCACACTTCTCCCTCCGATTGCTCATCCCCTTCCCCGCAAACCTCAGGGCCGTGTGTGTCACAGGTGGCGGCAGCGTCCCGAGATGGAGCAGCCGGGGTCCCCGATCGCTGCTGGGAGAGCTGCCCAGCCAGCCAGGCCCCGGGCTCTGTAAGAAGTAAACTGGGCTTGTGGAGGCAGCCTGACCCAGAGCACCCACATAGGGTGGCGCTCCCAGCAGCTCCGGAGCCCTGCCCAGGGTCGCGGAGGGGGACACCAGGGTGCTAGGTCTTCCGCAGAGAGGGCCGTGTGTGGGACTGCCCAGGGCACAGCTCGGGGCGAGGGGCCCTCACAGGAGGGGGGCCTCCCTCACCACGGTTCTGCCTGCCCCCTCCCCCCCCCGGCGGGACGGATAGAAAATGGGGGTGAGGGAAGGACACAGCCAGAAACCGCGTCATGATACAAATGATAAATTATATTTGTACAGTAAATAAGGATCAATAGTCAACACAAGTTCAAAACCAGCCACCGGCCCCTGGGACTGAGAAAACGGCTGGGTGACACCCCTACCACGGTGCCCATCAGGAGGGGGCGTGATGGCATGTGTCTTACACACGAGGCAGTGGCCGGTGGCTTCATGATCAGTGCAGCAGGCAACAGGGACGAGGCGCCTGGGCCGGGGTGGGACGGGGTCTCCTGGGGCCTTGGTGGCCCAGTGGCTATCATGTTGGGGCCTCAAAGTCACGTCAGGAAGGGGTCGTGACTGTGACAAAAGGGGCACTGGCCAGGTAGGTAGGTTTGGTCTACTGGCCTGCGACGGGGTTCCGGGCTCGCACCACAGGAGTGAAAGCACCTCCCTGGGGAAGCGACCCACCGAGTCCCACGCTGGCTCCCCCTCCCCCATGGTGGAAGAAGTCGGAAGAGGCCAGACTCGGCCGGGGCCCACGGTCCAGCCCCAGGTCCTCGGCGGCTCCTGGGGCCGGAGAACAGCCTGGGGGAGCAGCACGGGGGAGCTGGTAAACACAGGACTCGGGGGTGGCCTGAGCAGGCAGTTGTGACTCCGCCCGCTCGCCTCCTGGCATCTTACAGCTCTCCTGTGCGGTGCCCAGGGTCACCTCTCCTCCTGGAGCCAGCGAGCGGGCGGAGGAAGGCCGGGGTGGGGTCCGCTGCCCTGGGGTCGGGGTCGAGCCGTCCATGGCAGAAAGCAAGACCGGAATGCCCGGCAGAAAGCAAGACCGGAATGCCCGCCAGGCAGGCTGACCAGACACAGGATTGGGGGATGGGGGTGGGGGTCCCTTCCCCAGGGAGAAGCAGATCCTTTCTGGTCTTCATTTCGCAAATTCATACTTTTCTTATAGTGGTGGGTGGGGCGGGGAAAGCAGGAGGTGGGGGGGGGTAAGATTAGTGCACGTTTGTTAAGAATCTATTGTGAGAATGACCTTTTTCCCCCTCTTCTCCAAAGCAAGAGATGATTAAGTCTGCAGTGTGTGTGTCTGGAGTTCGCAGGTGGGTGGGTGGGTCAGGGCCAGTCCCGGCCCCTCACCCCTCTGGGCCCAGAGGCCGTCCGCAGGGAGCCCTGGGCACCCCCAGACTCCCGCCATCTCCACGCCGGCCCCATCTCCACCCTGAGTGCAGATTAAGACAGAGGAGATCACAGACACACAAGGTTCAAGGCGCCTCCCCCGCTTCAGATCTCCACTGCAGAGGGGAGTCCTTGCCCATCTGTGCAGCCTTCGGTTTCCCAAGGGGATGAGCTGATGAAAACTGGTGAGTCACATTCATACACTGGACTGGTTTTTTTTTTTTTACTTCCGCTTTCTTGACAGTGGCGTATTGGTAAGAAAAGTGGCCTCTCTCAGGATCTAGCCCGAAAGGCTGCAAGTCCATCGATTTGGGGAGTCACCAGAAAAGGGAGTGAAAGAAAGGAAAAGGCAACTGGAGGCTGGGATTTTGTTGTTGTTGTTGCAGGTTTTGTTTTTCTTAAATAAACATCATCTTTTATGTGTAATCAAATTCCCATATTTTTCCCTATAAAGAATCTGCTTTAGTTTTTCCATAAGGCATTTTTTTTGTCTCTCCCTATTTAAATTTTCTTAGAGTTAAAACCATAAATAAGAGGATTTAAACCACTAACATGACACGTGCCAATATCTTAATTCAGCCAGACCTGGTAAATTCTATCAAAACTAGACAGTTAAATAAGAACCACGTTATAAAAATATTAGCCAAAAAAAGACTATTAGATAATTCTGCAAACTCAAATATGAAACTGTACTAAACAAAATATGTGCAAACGTATACAAGCATAGAGCCACGTGGCGGGGTTATGCTCAGATTAGTTTAAAGCTTGCTCTAGTGGATTTAATTCGAGTTGCTCCACGGTGGTGGTGTTGACTTTGAACTCACACACGAGTCAAAGGGAAACAAAATATGCACAACCACGTCCCCAAAAGCTGAGCGCCTCGTGGAGCCGGTGCTTCCTTCCGCCCACGCCTGGGACCGCCGGGGTCCTGCTAGGGCTGGAGGTGGGGGGCAAAGCCACGGCGGCCGAGCGAGGCCCGGGCCAGGCAGCGTCCCAGAGGCCCTCGGGCTGAGGTTCGGGGCGTGGGCGACACCGCCAACTCCCCACCTCGTCCAAGGCCCCAGAGAGCGGGCCAATCTCCACAGGAGCCAGGACCTCACGCTCGGGGTGGGGGGGACGCGGGGCGGCGACGGGGCCGGGTCGGGCTACAGGCCGGGGGAAGGCCTGCCGCCGCTCGAGTCTGGGGGTCGGGGCCGTAGGGACACCCTTTTACCAGGAAGCCGGAAGCGGCCGGCCCTAACACCCACCCCCTCGCAGTCGAGTCCCTGCTCGGCGTCCTCAGGCACAGGTGCTCTGCGCATGCGCTCTGCAGTGGGCCCCCCGGCTCGGGCACTAGAGAAGGAAAGGGTTGGTTGTGCCGGTGGCCTGAGCTGCCGATGGGGGGTTGCCCACGCTGCCCACCATGTTCATCGCGGCGGGGCCCAGTGGCGTCAGGGAGGCGCCGCTGGCCCCCAGAGCTGGGTGTGCGGCCGCGGAGGTCATGGAGGCCATGGCCATGGGCTCCACGCCTGGGCTCGGCCCAAAGGCCGCGCTCGTCCCCAGGACTGGGCTCCCCCGCAGCTGGTTCAGCGTCAGCGGCTGGGGCTGGTGCACCTGGAAGGGGTTGACAGGGGCCGAGGCTGCGGCTGCACCTGAGGAGAGAGCGGGAAGGACAGCGGCCGCGTCAGAACCCCCCCCCGCCTCAAGGGCAGAAGATGGTGGCGGCCAGGGGCACGTGCACTCGGGCGGTCTGCCCCTCTGGGACCGGGTGCTGCCCGGTGCTGCTATTTCGCACACGCACATGCGTCTGGTGGCCAAGTGTCTGGTGTCTGCGCAGGAGACTAAGGCTGTGAGAAGCCAACTGACTCATCCCAAGTCCCAAAGGCTGAATAGGGCAGGGCCAGGAACGTGCCCGCCTCGCCTCAGGACCCCCTCACGACGCACAGCTGGCACTGCTCCCGAGTTTTGTGTGCCATGCTCTGTGACAAGTCTCCAAGAAAGAGGAGAGCAGAGGGGGAGCTGGGGACCGCTGCCGGAGAGTGGCAGTCTCCATGCTGGACCCAGGACCCGAGGACTGGCATCTTAAAAGGCTCTGAGAAGGCCCGCAGTCAAGTGGATGCAGCTATGTCTTCTCCAGCATTTCAGGATTCATCACACATCATAAAACCTTTCCCCAGCTTTAAACAAAATTGTCTGTTGATACTCTGCCCAAAACATGAGAGCTGCCAGCACTGGGTCCCCAAAGCAGCCCAGCCCCTGAGCACAAAGGCTGCCTGCCGAGGGGCACCCCCACACATCACCACCAGGAGCCGATGCCCTGGCCACTCTCAACCCCACCCCGGGGAGGCACAGACCCTGCTGAGGGCTCAGCATGCATCCCTGCGCCAGCCCCTCCCATAACCCTGCAGATCAGGTCAGTCAGCCCTGCTGGAGCTGCCCTGAGGAGGGACGGCAGGGCCCCAGTGTGGGGGTGGGGGGTACCAGCGTGGGGGTGGGGCATGGGGGGCACTGGCATGGGGGGTGGGGGATGGCAGGGCCCCGGTGTGGGGGTTGGGGATGGGGTGGGGCACCGGCATGGGGGTGGGGGACGGGGGGCACCTAGAGAGATGGTGGGGCACCGCACGAGGTGGGGAAGGGATGGTGGGCCACCGGGGAAGAGGGCCAGCCTCGCTTAGACACTGGGTTCTGATCCAGCTCTGCCCAGGGAGCAAGGAGCAACCACGTCCTTGCTCATCACAGGGTTGGGCAGGACCAGGGCCTCCACACACCCCACTTCTGCCCCAGGGTCTTCACCCTCAACTCTTCTGAGTCCCGGGGTCCCTCTTCTGCAGGGTCCTATGAGGCGCTATGGCCCGGGGCTTCAGATCTGTCTTGTGATGGGCTTCAGACTGAACGCCCTGAATGTGACACATCCCAGCCCCTGGGAGCCCACGGCCTTGCTGGGAAATTGGGGGGGGGTGCTCCCTAGAGGGAGAGGGTTATCTGGGCTGGGTGCTGAGGACTGTGATCTCCCATGGGAGAGAGGGCACTCCGGGCCGGGGGAGCAGAGGGGTGCGGTGCAGCCGAGGCTGGGAGCACACGGGCACGGAAGGCGGGGCAGCGACAGCCTCAGCAGCCCTGGGCACTGAAGCACTGGAGCGAGGGCTGGGGGCCTGTCCTCTGAGGGAGGAGGGACACAGGGATGGGAAGGCGGGGTTCCGAACCCTGGAATGGCGAGGCGAGGGTCCTTGGGTCCCTGGGAAATGGCCCCTGGAAAGAGGGATGTTGGGCAGCAACCCGGCTCTTCCTCACCCCAGCACTGCCCTCCCCCGCTGACCATGAAGCTGCTTACTGCAGGGTCCCCATGGCCAAGCGCACCAGGTCAGGGACCACTTCTGCTCGGTGGTCTCGGCTACCTGAGAGGAGAGGGGCTGTCCACCCCGCCCCCACACACACTACACACCAGCTTTCACATCCCGGCCGTGCCTCTGAACGTGGCGCTGGCGTGTACGGCACGACAGGAAGGGCCCCCCAGAGGCAGAGGAGAAGTCAGGGCCCGAGGCCTGCCCCGCACCCCTTCTCAGGAAGGGCAGACAACCAGAGGGAGCCCAGGGGAGCCCGCATACCTGGTGCCAGGAACGGGTTGAGGGACTGGGCCGGCGGGGCTGGCCTGGTCACCAGCGAGTCCAGGTTCACCAGGGCCGCGTTGGGGCCCAGGAAGGACTCTGGGGTTTTCCGGGAGCTGCTGGGCTTGCTCGAGGCGGCGGTCAGGGGCTGAGACTCAAAGGGGTCGGGGCTTGTCGTTCCGTTGTTTTGGGACGGGGGAGAGGCCACCGCCTCAGCTGCAAGACAGGGACACACGTGGGCGCGGCGGGCGCGGAGGCTGGGGCCCCAGGAGCCCACCCCAGGAGAGTCCCAAGCGAGAGACAGGCATTCCGGGGGGCCCCTGCGTGGCCACGCAGGAGCTGGGATGTTGGGGGCACAGCGGTCCCCAACAGCCTGGACAGGGACATCAGCCACAGGGGAAGCTCACAGACCCCCAGGTCCCGTAACCACACCCAGAGCGCGGGGACGGAGACTCGCGGATGAGGAAAGCGCTGTCACAACGCCGCGTGAGAGAAGCAGGCTACCAGACAATGCGTACGGCAGGATCCACCCCAGGATATTGGGGTGTTGTGCGGGGTTGCTGGCTGCGCACGGGCACCTTAGTTTCTGGGGTGTGTTCACTGTCCATTTTCTACAATGAACGTGAATTTCTTGATGGAGAAGAAAGCAAATTACTCTCAAGAACTCGGCCAACTGAGGCTGTACTAAGACGGGCCGGTGGGAGCGCAGTGGCCGTGGGGTTAAAGGTTCTTAAAAATGGTCATACTCTCCACTCGGTAATCCCATTTCTAGGAATCCAGTCTTAGGAAATAATGCGAAGTGTGAACAGGGATCTAAGCAGTGGGCTGTTCACGACAGCATTATTTACTGTAGCAAAACCCGAAATCAACCTAAAATGTCCTCCCCAAAGTTACAGGTCAAAGAAATTACCGCAGAACAGTACAGGAGCAATGACAGCTACGGACTATTGCTGAAGACTTTTACGGGAGGGGCAGGACCCAAGTCCAAAGGACAGCGTGGGCGGAACAGAAAAGGCTGCACCGACAGAGCAGAGCTCACAAAACATACTGGACGGCAGCACAGCCACTGGGCTAGGTGGAAGGGTCGCGGACGATTGTGATTGCCTTCCACACACTTGCCCAAATTCTCTGCAGTGCAAATAGCTCAAGAATTGGGGGTACATATTTTGCAAGCCCACGGAAGGATGTCCACGTAACGAAGCCACACAGCCTTCTCACTGAGGCACGCGTGGGTGGGCCAGGACAGTTAGGTTGCACTTTGGCCTGCAGAGGACACGCATGGAGTTTTGTTTTTTTAATGCAGCAAAAGAAACATCCCAAGAAGCAGCACGTTCTAAGTGGCCTCTGGTCCCCTGAGCTGAGAGGGGGCCTGAAGGGTGGCCCGGGGCACCAGGCTGCTCGTACCTTAGACCAGGGCCAGCCAGGCCTGTAGCTGTAGCTGAGGGAAGGGGGGGAGGGGGAGGCTAGAAGAGGAAGGGGGTGGGGGGCAAATGGAGAATGGGGAGGGCACAGGGGGAAGCTGAGATAGGAAAGAGAAAGGAGAGAAGTTGCTCTATGTAGCTGGAGGCGTGACCGGAGATGGACAGAGGCAGCCTGGCTCCGTCCCTGGCTTCTGGCGTCGGCCCCCTCCCCCGGCCCGGTCTCTCTGCACCCTACCCTGACCCACGGCCAGCCTGGGGGCACCGGGCCTGGGCCTCGAACAGGCACTGGGCGGGAGCCACAACCGGGTGGGCAGAGGCCCCTGTCCAGGCCTAGAGCTCGGGCTGTCTGGAAGGGGGCGCCCTGGGGAGTAGGGACTTGGGAGGAAATTACGGGGAAGCAGCGGTTCAGGCTGGGCAGGGGCCATGCTGGGCTGGGCGGGGGCGTGGGCAGGTGGGGGGGCTGGGGGGGCCGAGGCTTAGAGATGAATGAGACCGGAAACGCGACCCCAACACCAGGACGGGGTGAAAGAGAAGCCCAATCACACGGCTGTTCACCGCGTGCAATCGGCCACTTGCAGCCCCCAAGACCAAAACACAAAGAAAATGCAGGAATTGGATAGGGCTTGAAAGCCGCTTGTTTCTGCAATAACTGGGCTGGTCAAATGCACAGAAAACCATGGAAACCGCTACTATTTTTACATACCTGTTTTTTTTGAAGTTCGGAGGTTGTCGAATTCAGAAAAGTCATCTTTAATTGTACCATTCAGATTACTGAAGAGATCAAAGGCGCCTGGGTGAACACAGAGGCCGGTGACTGCGGGCACATCACCATGGCCCGCGGCTCCGCCGCCCAGGCCACAAGCCAGGGGTGTGCTGGCAGCAGGAGGGGAGAGGGTCTACCCCATCGCGCAGGGCTCAGGGGCACCTGGGGGTCTGGCGAGGGCTGGGAGGGGGCTGGGCGAGGGTCCTGGCCTCCAGGACACAGGTGGGGGCGCGCGCCTGCCACTGCTCCGGCCTGCCCCGCCCCAGACTGAAGGAGGCAGGCGGAGAGACTTCTGAGCTAGGTTCTGAGGCTTGGATAGAGCTGTGGAAGCTACTGGAAGGAGCGTCCAGAGGGCAGCCTGCCCCGGCCCCCTCGGGAAGCTCCCTCTGGACAGAGGCCCAGGGGCCCAGAAGGCCTGTGAGCTCACCCTTCCTGGTGGCATCGGGGGACTGGGGACCAAGGCTGCTGGTGACGGTCACAGGTGCAGGCAAACCTGCAGGTCCCCTGCCACGCGGCCAGGAGAGGGAAGGCATGGGCCCCAAAGGGCTTCTCAGAGCCTGGACAGAGTGAGGTCTCACCAGCGGCAGAAACAGGCTTCGCGGCCGAGGCTGCGGCCCAGGCGTCGGCTGCTTTCCCGGCACTGGGGGCCTGCTGCGGCGGCGCTGCCCACGGGTCTGAGCCCTTGGAGATGGAGTGTGTGCTGGCTCCGGTGGGCACGCCCCACGGATCGACGGGGGCAGCTGGCTTGGCACCTGGGGAAAGGCAGGGCAGGCTCAGATACATCCCCGGAAAGTGGGCAGATGGGGAGAGAACGGATGGGACAGCGGGCCACGTGTCAGGCCAGGCCATCACCCAAAGGGTGCTGTCCCGCGCCAGCAAAGCGGGACAGAGCTGAAGGCCAGGGCCGACAGCCATCGGGGGCTCCCACCCCGGGGCGTGCGCTGGGCCCGGCCTGCTGGGAAGGGACCAGACAGGAGGCAGTGGGAAGACCGTCCCAAAGTCCCTGCCACACCTGGTCTTGTGAGGAGCCCCCTGAGCTGAAGTCAAGCCCGTCTCCCCAGAGCCCAGGGGCTCCCTCCTCGGAACGGGCCCCGCCCACCCTCCGCGCCAGCCACAGCCCCTGGCAGCGGCCTGTCCACACTCGCTTTGAGTGGCTTCTGCTTTTGACAGAGGGTGACTACAACAGAGTACAACGTGACAAGGAATCATTAAAGCAGCTGCCTACGCGCTCAGGCAATCTCAGTCACACGCAGATTGGGGCGTTGCTCCTTCGTAAGCGCCGACACACAACACGCATCTGTATCTCCTTCCTTCGGGTCGGAGCCACAGCCAATGTTTAAAAGCTGCTGCTGCCTTTCAGGGAGAAGCAGTCCAGCCAGTCCTCGTGAATTCTGCTAGCCCTTCCCCGACTTCCTCTCCTACCCTGCAGCGGTGCCTTCACCCACCCACCCACCCGCCTGCCTGCCTACTCCCTGACCTGTACGTAAACGTACGCACCCTACGTGGCCTGCCTGGTTCGCACACGTCTTATTTGGGAGATTTCCCCGGTGTTGATGAGCAGTGAAAACATGTCCCTTTGCACTGCTGTATACCATTCCACTCTGGGGGGGGGAGGGCCATAGTGATGAGTCCGCTGAAGGCACGGGCTTGGTTTGGCTTTAATTCTCATCTCCGAGTGCTCACACACGTGAGGCCCTGGGTCGTAGCTCCTTCCCCTTTGCCGAGGGACGCCAAAGTGGCCTCACACGGTCGTGCCTTATGCTCTGTGGGTACAAGTCCTGGTGCTCTGGGAATTGCCCAGTAACCTCATTACTGCTTCCTGCTCACTGTTTCACGCGTGACAATCTGCTGGGTGTGCAAGGTCACCTGTTTCAATTTGCGTCTCTTTCTTCCTTAAGGAGGCTGTGCATCTTATCATTTGTTTCCAGGTCTTCCGTGATTCCTCTCCTAGAAAGTGCCTTTCCCAGTCTTTCCTCGCCTACCTCTGAGGGTGCTTAACTTTCTCTTAATTGATGTGAGGGTTCTTCCCTCGTTCTGAATACTGACCTCTTCACTTAGGTTACAAAAACAAAAAAATCATCTCCGAATTTGTGGCTTTTCTTTTCACTCTCCTTAAGGTATCTTTTGATGAACAGAGATGTTAAGTTTAATGGGGAGAAAACTATCAGTATTTCTTTTATAATTTGTGTTTTGTGACAACTAGGAAGGCCTTCCCTACACCTTAAAGGTCATTAAAAAAAATTTTTTTTTTCATTTTTCAAAAATGAGGGAAAGAGAAAGAGAGAATGAGGAGAGGGGCAGAGAGAGGGAGACACAGAATCCAAACCAGGCTCCATCCAGGCTCTGCGCTGTCAGCACAGAGCTCGATGCAGGGCTCAAACCCATGAACTTGGACGCTTACCGACTGAGCCACCCAGGTGCCCCTCAAAGGTCTTCTCCTATATAAACATCTAACAGGTTTACAGTTGGCTTTGCACATTCACGTATGTCTTCAATCAGTGAGTGCTTTTTGTAGAAGGTGTGGGATGTGGATTCCAAGCATGTTTCCCTACACAAACGGCTAATCCTGGCGCCACGGTTTGCCCCCGACCTGCACACAGAGCCTCCTCTACCAGATGGCAGGATTTTGCAGATTCGTTACTGGGCTCTCCATTCTGTTCTGCTGACCAGTTTGTTTCCATCCCTGTGCTTTCTGGCTTATTCTCATAGAAAGCATTATAATAAAAACTGTACTGAATCTCAGATCAACCTGAAGAAAGTTAGTGATTTCTAACAGCAAGTCCTCGAAAAACCAAAATCACACATCTTTCCATGTTTACCTAAGTCCTTCAATGTATTTCAGTAAAATCTGATCTTTCTTATTCTATCCTTTATTTCCATAAGGGATTTATGCAACTATTTTATAAAATAGGGGCTGGCATATTTTTAGAATTTAATTTTTATTGGGGCACATGGGTGGCTAAGTTGGTTAAGCAGCCAACTTCGGCTCAGGTCACGATCCTCTGGTTCATAATTCGAGTCCTGTGTCAGGCTCTGTGCCTGGAGCCTGCTTCCGATTCTGTGTTTCCATTTCTCTCTGCCCCTCCCCTGCTCATGCTCTCTCAAAAATAAGAATACATTAAAATTTTTTGTTTATCGTATGCATAAAAAATTTAATTCTGCATACTGATTTTTATAGCCAGCAGTCTTATTAAACTCTTTTTGATAGAGTCTTTTGTTATTTTTTTTAATGTTTGTTTTGAAAAAGAAAATGTGTGTGTGCATGAGCAAGAGAGGGGCAGAGAGAGTGAGAGGGAGAGAGGGAGAGGGGGAGAGGGAGAGAGGGAGAGAGTGAGCGAGAGAGAGAATCCCAAGCAGGCTCCACACTGTCAGCACAGGGCCCAAGGTACGGATCGATCTCACAAACTGTGAGATCATGACCTGTGCCAAAATCAAGAGTCAAACACTCAACTGAGCCACCCAGGTGCCCCTTAAATTCTTAATTCTAATTCTTTATTCTTGTAATTCCAATACCTCTTAATTCTAACAAAATTACCTGAGAAGTTTTTGATATTCTATGTACACATCTCTTGCAAGTGACAATGGCCTAATTCTTCCCAGTCTTCAATCTTTTCCCCTCCTTTCCCTGCCTCACTGTGCTGGCCAGGGCCACCAGCATCGACAGAAAGCATGGCCGTGGACAGCTAAGTCTCTTTGTCTCGCTCTTACAGGAAAAATTTTCAACGTTTCACAGTAAATGGTAGCATTTACCATTATGGACTTCTTTCCTTCTAGAAGCCCTTAATCAGGCTATGGAAGCACCTCATCATCCCAAGTTTGCTAAGACTTTTGCAGTGAATGGCTGATGAATTTCACCACTTTCTGTCTCTATTAAGACAATTCCATGATTTTTCCCTTCTCATCTGTAATATTGTACATGAATACTTTTTCTAAGGACTCGGTCCTTGCAAGCAAAGCTTCTCATGATGCATTCTATCATTTTTATATATTTTTTTTGGTTTAACAATTATTCGCTTTTTGCATTTGTATTCCACAGTGGGAGCGGCCTGACAGCTCTGTTCTCACACTGTATGTCCTGTCTGGTTTTGATGTCAAGGTTACGCTAGTCTCATAAAAATAGCAGGAGACTCCCTATTTTCCTACCCTCTGAAGGAGTTTGTATAAAGGTGGAATTGTTTCTAGAGTTGTGTTACAATCTGCCAGCACAGCCGTCCGGGTGGATTGCGGGGTGGGGAAGATTTTTAGGTCCTGACTCAATGCCTTTAATGATAATAGCACCATCCCTATTTACGGATTTTCTACTGTTCTCCGGTCAGCTCTGCTAAGTTTTCTTTCTAAATCTATTGACTTTAAGTTTTCAGATTTGAAAGCACAGAGCTGATCAAAGAGCCTCTTACTCCACATGACACCTTGGCAGTGTGTGTAGTTATGTTCCTCTATATATTCCTAATATTCCTCACACTGTCTGCAACTTCCCTCCTTATTTAAAAAAAGGTTTTTTTTAGCTTATCTCTTTAGAGAGAGTGAGCTTGAGCAAGGGAGGGTCAGAAAGAAAGAGAGGAAGAGACAGAGAGAATCCCAAGCAGGTTCCATGTTGTCAGCACAGAGCCCGATGTGGGGCTCAATCCTAGAACCATGAGATCGTGACCTGAGCCGAAATCAAGAGTCAGACACTTAACCGATTGAGCTGCCCAGGTGACCCCTCCTCCTCATTTTTAAAAATTATTCTTGCTGGCGATTTGTCTGTTTTATTGGTTGCTCTTTTCAGTCAGCGACGTCTGTCCTTGTGTGTTTGTGTTCTAATGCACTCACTTCTGTTCTTATTCTTACTTCATTTCCTCCACTCTCGGTGTCATGCTGTTCTGAAAGCAGCGAAAGTTCCCGGTTCCCCTCTCAATATTGTTTTAGTTGCCCCACAAGCTCTGGAATAAAAATATGTACCTTACTAGTTGGTTTTAAATGTTTCTGATTCTCATTAGAATTTCTTCTTTGACTCAAGAATTCAGGAGCTTTTCAAACGTCAAGCATATGGAGTTTTCCTTCTGTTGTTGAGGATACTGTGGTCAGAACATGTCTTCCAGGTGATCCCCATTTCCGGAAACGCGCTGGGGCTGGCCTTTTTTTTTTTTTTTTTTTTTGCCTAGCACGGGATGGAGGTTTTGGCAAGTCTTCTGAAGGGGACTGAAAATAACGTGTGCGCTCTTGTCACCGAGAACAACAAATTCACGGGCTCTCGTGAACCGTGCTGCTCAAACTCTGTTCTATTCTGACGACCTGCCGTGCAATGATATGAAATATGCATATTGGTCCCTGCACCCCAGCTCCTGGCCCGGACCCCTGAGGCCCCTGTGATCTCTTCAGCGGACACAGTACTGGGAGCATCTCTTGCTCAACTGCGGTGACCCCGACCAGGTTCCCAGATGCCTCCTGGCCGGAGCCGGTGTAACTGGAAAGGCCAAGTCACGATGGGAGCTGGGACGTTTCTGCCGCCTGGAAATGTCACTATTTCACCTTTATTCTTAATGAATACCTTCACTGCATAGAGAATTCTGGAGACTAAAAGTTGTTTTGTTGGCATCTCGAAATGTATTTTACCATCATTCTCGCAAGAAAGAGGTCACCCTCGGAGGGGAATCCAAGGCAGGTGGCTTTCACCCAGCACACCCAGGGCCTTACCCCACTGTGTGCCCGCATCAGTCATCCTGGCAGAGAGGGCCGCAGTGCCATTGACTGTGTCTCTTTTCCGTGGCGC